AGTATGCTCATATTTGACACAATATAAATTGAACTAATTCATTTTATCCATTCACTATAATTTCTTGATAAGGAGAATGATGTTTTCTTATATATTGAATATCACAATTAAACCCTACTTTCTATCATTAATTATTTATTAGTTATCCAAATTATTTACTTATTTCAATTGCCTATTAGTGACATATTAGCAAATTGAACGTCGTCGTTGGAGTTGAAGTATTACTTTTTATTAAGCCTTAGTCCGTAGTATTCTCTTTCTCCCTGTGGGATCGATAACTAGGACTCCATTAGAGCCCTATATTACTTGAGCGATACGTATACTTGCGTTGACAAATTCGACTTTGACATTATTGAATATTATATCTATACATCTTTATTAAATCAAACACATATATATAAAGTCGCAGTATAGATTTTGAAACTGTTGTTAGAATTTAAATCTTCTAGTAGCGCCATCAAATTTTTGTAATTGTCGATTTACAAAAAGAAAAATGTCGGTCAGATATCACAGCTACGAGATGCCATCGATGAGGCAGATGATGTTCTTGATGACTTTGAGTACGTGAAGCTTGAAGAACAACTTACCAGAAACAAGAAGCAGCAAAAGGTGTGTTCCACCATGAGCTCTTCAAAGAAAATTGGCAAATGTGCTCTCAAGATGGATCCCAATTTGAAGAGACTGGAGAAGGTTGTGAAGAAACTTGATAATGTTTCAGCTGAGATCAGCACTTTCCTTCATCTGATCGGAAACACAAGTAAGAGCAACAGGAGCTGGAGCTTTAGTTGTGCGAAGATTGTGAAACAGGATGCTTGCCTAAAAATGATCTCATCGGTCGAGGCGAGGAGAAGGATTTTGTGGCCTATTCCCACTAGATCATCAGTTTGATAAAGATAATTTAGTCCGAATGTGGAGTGCATTGGGTTTCACTCAGGAATTTTCTATTGAAGGAGAGACTTTGGAAGATATTGGAGAGAGGTATTTTGATGTTTTGGTCAGAAAATCTTTCTTTGATGACTTTCAATATTATGAGAGAATATATTATAAGATGCATGATTTATTCCATGAATTGACACAATCTATTTCTTTCGAGGAATGTTTCGGATTTGAGGGAGATAATTTGATAATGATTTGTTATAACTCACATCGTGTGTAAAATATAATCAGATTTTAAAGGGCTTTAAAGAACCATATTAAATTCTATCCAAAACCAACCGAATGATGAGATATAATAAATTCAGCATTTCTTAAACATGTTTTCCAACTTCAAACAATCAAATGAGTACTATTTCAATTGGAATGTTAAGCCTGAAATTTCAGTTTTTTTTGGCTCTCTCTCTCTCTCTCTCTCTCTCTCAGGAAAAGACTACTCAATCAATCAAATGCCATTCATTGAGAAGATCTCATAAGCCTCACAAGCTAACATCAAAATAAGCAAAGCTAAGCAGGGTGCGGCTGACCACCTAGTAAAGCTCCCTAGAGTTCTTTCATCATGGAAGGAGCTTAATTGTCACATTTAAAAATCTAGTGGGGAAACCGTGTATGAAAACCTCCTCGGCTAGCCATACAAAGAAGAAAAATTTTAGTTTAAAACACGTGGAAATACGAAAGGAATGGAAAAATCAAGTAAGGAAAGTCTTTTGCAATGTGTTTGAAATCAAGAAAATCAAGCGTGATACTAATTTTCTTTATTACTGGCTTGGGAATTGCAATCTTGCTATTTTACATGTTTTAATTCCATTTTTTCCAGTTCTCCTTGCTGCATTATACACAATCAATCCCATTACAATATTTAGATATTACAATCTCCATTTGATAGCTTGAAACTGTTGAGAATTTGTTGGAAGCAGTGAATTCTGCCTTCTTCGGTTTGTAACAGTTATTTCTTGATGTGATGCAAAAGATTTGAGTGTTATGTATGTAAATATGAAAGTATAGGTGTTAAATCTGTAGATGTATTAGAATTGCGTGTTATGTATGTAAATGCACCTTTATTATCTTATTTAAAATTAAGTAATCAGAAGACGAATGATTTATTGTACAATAATCATCATTCTCATGTAGAGTTTCAATGTAATAATTGATTTCCACAACATTCAAGCTAATAATGAATTCTAATAAATTCATAATTATTTGAAATTATTTCTAAAATTTAAAATAAATTCATCATTACGTTGAATTTCTGCTTCATAATTATTAAATAAATGGGTGTAATAGTTATGTTACAAACAAATTTACTGAACAGGGGCAGAACAGTCAATTTTCCAGAAACAACTGCCCCACAGTTGTTTTCACATATCTACAACAAACAGACAGTCAGCTTCCCCGCAGAAGCTTCTTCGGGCAGCGCAGCAAAAGATGAAAAAATGAGAAGCTGTAGCTGCGCCAAACAAAGCCTTAATCTACATATTTTGAATGCAGATGATAAATGGATGTGTGCATAATGGGATAGATAAAGTGCCCTCTTTTAAAAATAACACAGTAAGATAACAATCGAGGGACTCACTTTAATGATTCTTAAAATGTCAACAAAACAATCCTTCTTGCATCTTAGCAAAAGCAATCGTGGGCGACTGCATAGCTATAAAGATGAAATTTCAAATTTCAAATGAAGCAATCGTGGGCGACTGTAGCAATAAAGTTTCTAGCATTTTAGGCTTGGTGATTTATTTCCAAGTATACATTTATAACCAACCAAACAACGGACCAACAAAAGGTCTGAGCCACAGGTTCTCATTCTATTAAACGATAATCAAATCCGGGATCCACAAGGAAAAAAATAAAGTTGAATAAAAAATTTTCTATTAGTACTCCGGATGTAGCTCTACGTGTGGACTTCAACAATATGCCGCCACATGTGCTACATAGCGGAATTTATTTTGGAGTTATTGAAGTGGAACCAGGGATGTTATTTCGAGGTTATTGAAGAGAAACCCATATATTCTACTTCAATAACCCCGAAAGAACTCAGAAATGACTTTGAAATAACCTCGGCGGTTCTACTTAAATAACCCCAAAATAATACCGCAGAGGTTATTTCGGGGCTTTTTCTGGGTTATTTCGAACTTATTGAAGTGAAACCGCATAAATTATTTTGGAATCTGCGGTCCAACTTTAATATTTTCTTAGGTAGGCCCGATATAGCACATATGACGGTATATTACTGGGAATCCGTACGTTGGGTTACCTTTGGAATTCAAATAGAAAATTTTTCCTGAATCACGGCCTGAAAGAAGCTCACCCTTTTTCAATCACTCCCGTATTTGATGATCTAGATAAGAAAGATAATCCAATGAAATATCCACACGTTGTTGAGATTGACTAGAAGAGTTGGTGTCAACATGTAACCGTGGCTCTAAGGAGAAAGATGGAGACAAAATATTACATGTGAACAAAATAGATGTGGATACTTATGGATTCGACAGTCTTATGGTAGTATTTGTTGTATTTAAGGCTTATTTATATATAGGGTTAATTTGTTTTTTTTTTCTTTTTTTTGCTTTATTTATTTGTATGTCATAATTCTCTTTTATAAAAGGGACGTAGAGTTCATGAGTGGGTAATATATTGAGAAATGTGAGTTGTAATTCATAGCTTATCTTTTTCTTCCTTTAACTAGTGAAATCTCTCAACTTAACACTGAACTATATAAATATTTTATGTTTCATTATTGTTGTTTGAATTTCTTCATTTCTACATTATTCTCGCATAACAATTAATATCATAATCTCAGGACCGTGATCGAAACGTGGTTCGACTTTGATGGCAGCAAATCCAATGTTTGTTGCCGAAACTTTTTGGAGCAGATGGTTAGACATGGCAGATTTGCCGGATTCCGGTGGCGATTCTAGCGGTCCGGAAGTCTGGCGAAGCTCAAACGCGGTCTGGCGCGGAAAAAACAATAATATCGCGTGGAGCTTGGAAGGTCGGCTCAAGGTTCACGTGGGAGAGGGAGAGGAGAAAAAGAAAAACAATTAAAAGGAAATTCTTTTATTTATTCCCTTTTGCTTTTAGAGGAATTTCAGGAATTAGGTAGAATCGCAAGGATTAGAAAAAAAAAAAGGAAAAGTTTCCATTAAAAAAAAAGTTGCTTGCGTTAAGAGTGAAGGGCATCTCAGAAACAATGAAAAGAAAAGTTTTTTGAGAAGAAATTTTTTTGAATGGAAAAAGGAATTTCACGAGCGGAAACAAATAAGTGAGAATTTCAGAAAAAAGAAAATTTTTATTTTTTGAAATTTATTTCTTTTTTGGTAAATCTTATTTTTTTTTGTTTTTTTATTTTTTTCTTTTTTTTTCTAGGTATCCCATTAGAGTATTTTTTTGGAAAAAATATTCCAACAGTAGGAACAATAAATAATAACCTGATATCAAGTTCTTTAACATCAGCTAGATGATGGAAAAGTTGATTCATCACGTGTGTATGCATCTTGTCAAAATTGATATGACAAACAAAATTTAACGGCAAAGGGACTTTTGACAGTTGAAATGCGAGGTGATGAAAGCACTATGTTCTTTCAATCTGGAGGAAGCCCTGAATAGTGAGGAATGTTCTGAATAGATGTCAGAGAGAGATTGGTTAAAGATGAATCGAAGTGCTTGTGATTTGATTCAAAATTGCTTGACCCAGGAGATTAAATATGGGGTGGTGTTGGAGACTTACGCTGGGAAATTATGAAAGATATTGGAGAACAATTATCTCACGAAGAACATGAAAAAACTTCATTATATGAAGCATTGATTCTACAAATTTCAGATGAGACGAGAGGTTATTATTAATGAGCACTTGAATGACTTCACAATATTGTTAGCATATCTGTTAAAGTAAGATGAAGAGATTGGAGATAAAGACAAGACGCTCCTGTTATTGAATTCACCCACATATGAGTATGAAAACTTGACTATGACACTCAATTATGGGATAGGGATCTTGAATTATGATGATGTGCCTACAACAATTTCTCATGATGAGTTCCGTCAAAAGGAAAATGATGCAAAGATGGAGTCGTTTGAGATACTTAAACTTCAATATGACATAGTTGAGAAGAAAAGGAAGAAGAAGAAGAAGAGTTCGACAAATAATGATGGCAACAACAACACTTCTCAAAAGCGAAGCAAGTCTCGTGGGTGTAATCCTTAAAGAAATCCATGAGTTTTCTATTTAGAGACTGGTCCATGTAAGAAAAATTATCCAAAGCTGAAGGAGAAGTGAAAGAAAGCTGCATATAGGGCAAAAGCCAATATCAGTGTGGGAAAATGCAAAGTGGGGGATTCAAATGTATCATTATCTACAATTTCTTACAGTTATTTATAGATGATAAGTGTTGGATTTTGGGCATATGTGCTACCAATTACAGCACTCCTCGTTAAAAATGGTTTGGTACGTACAAGGAGTTGGATAGTGGTGTATTTATTATGGGCAACATTCAAGCGGGTCGTACTACTGGGGTAAAGATTATTTTTATTAGGATGCATGACATTGTGTGAGGGAGCGAACTGTTGTTAAAAATATTTCAAATATCATGAAGAATTTGTTTTTAGTTGGTGCTTTAATGTTTAAGAGCTACAAGGTAGTTATTAAGACATAAGATTTGAGAATATGTCGTGGAGTAATGATTTTTTTTTTAAAGAGTTTGTCATAAAAAAATTTACTATCTTCAAGGTAGGACAGTGACTGGAATGTGCTTTTGTTGATGATTCTTTTGATGACATTTTGTTATGGCATACCCTGCTAGCTCATACTAGAGAGGCTTCACATCAGGCGTTGGTGAAGGAAGGATTGATCAGAAGGGCAAGCACCTGCGAGCTCAATTTCTGTAAACTTTTTTTATTTGATAAGAAGGCATGAGCATCTTTTGGGACTGTCATCTACAATACAAAAGATATTTTAG